ACATTGGTTGTACCGATTTGATAAGTCACCACATCGATACACGTTACGCCGCCCCATTTCGGCAAAACCCATTCTGCCTCAGCCTTGCTGAAAAAGAGCATGTCAGAGTTGCCGTTAATGACATGCTGGCAGCGGATATCATTTCTCCATCGACCAGCCCATGGGGAGCACCAATTGTCCTCGATAAAAAAACACGACGGCAGCCTTCGATTTTGCGTGGATTTTCGGCGGCTAAATAAAATCTCCGTGGCCAACGCATATCCGCTCCCCAGGATGGACGAGTCGCTCGATGCCCTGGAACTTTTGTCAGGATTCTGGGAATTGCCTCTTAACAAAGCGTCCAAGCCTGAGACGGCCTTCCGCACACCGCAGGGCCTCTTCAAATTTAACCGGCTTCCTATGGGTCTTCACTCGGCCCCAGCGACGTTCCAGCGCCTGATGGAGCTGGTCCTCGCTGAACTCCAGTGGGATGCTTGCCTGATCTATCTCGACGATATTATTGTCTTTACCCGTACTTTCGACGAGCACCTTGATCGATTAAGGGCCGTTTTTGGTAAAATGCGGGCGGCACGGCTCAAATTCAAGCCGCAGAAGTTCCACCTCCTGCGAAATTCCGTTCGCCATCTCGGACACATTGTTAGCCAGTCGGGTATCGCCACGGACCCCGAGAAGACGAGTTGCGTCCGCTCACGATCGACCCTCACATCCGTCAGTGATGTGCGGAGTTTTATCGGCTTCGCCTCTTATTATCGGCGGTTTGTGGCAGGATTTGCGTTCATTGCAAAGCGCCTTCACGCACTGATGGGTAAGGGTGCTAAATTCCACTGGGGAGAGGTGGAGCAAGCCGCATTTGACGCTATTCGTGATAGACTGGTCAATGCCCCTCCCTTGTGTTACCCAAATTTCTCTGTACCGTTCCACTTGGATACGGATGCCAGCAACACTGGAATAGGGGGAGTATTGTCATAGGTTGTTGACGGTGTGGAATGCGTGGTTGCATATGGCAGTCGGGTGTTGTCCCCTGCGGAGCAACGATATTGTGTTACCCGTCGCAAACTGCTGGCCATCGTCTTCTTTGTTCAGCAGTACAGGTCCTACCTGTATGGTAGACACTTTCCCGTATGTTCCGACTATGCAGCACTCCAATATGCCCTGAGAGTTGACCAACCATCAGGCCAATTATCTTGCTGGCTTGAGGTCCTCCAGGACTATTCTTTCACAGTCATCTATCGTAAGGGTGTCCGAAATAGCAACGCTGACGCATTGTCACGACTGCCTAACTCTGAGAGATGTGCATGCTTCATGGGATCGGGCCGCTGCAAGCAACCCGCTGACAGCATGGCCCCCTCCCTCGCTGCGGCAGCCAATTTTGGGGTGGATTCCCCTAAAGCGTCAGACGCGCCCACCGCACGGGATGCACTGTTGGGCCTCTACCTGGATGATTGGGGACGTCTCCAGGTGTAATACGCTTCCCTACATAAATTGCGCCGTCGCACTGATGAGGCACACGAGGGTAGAAGTCACGGGAGCCCGATTTCCTTTGTCGTGTGGGACGGCCTCCTCATGAAATGGGACAGCTGTGCATTGAGGTACAAGCTGGTGGTACCCACTTCCCTATGGGGGAAGGCTGTGTGGGCTGCTCATGAGCACCTCCTGCATCTGGGGACACAAAAGACCCTTGCCATGCTCCAGCTGGAATCCTTCTGGCCGGGCATGGCAAGGGACGTCGCCGAATTGCTCTAAGGTTGTAACTAGTGAGCTCGATGGAGACCTCTCTCTAAACCGTCGTGTCCGCCCCTACAATCCATTCACGTGTCTCATGTGAATGAACTTGTTGCACTTGACATCTTGGAGCCCTTCCCTGCCACTCCCCGGGGTAATAAGTACCTGTTGGTTGTGGTTGAATACTTCACCAATCGGCAGCAGCCATCATGGGGGCCTTTCTCCAGGGCTATGTCCTGGATAACGGTGCTCCAGAACGGCTGCTGACTGATCAAGGGAAACATTTTTTGTCAACTTTGCTACGGGATGTGTGCAACCTGCTCGGCACACATAAAATTCGCACATCTCAATACCACCCACAGACTGACGGGATGGACGAGCGGCTCCACAGAACACTTACCTCAATGCTAAATTATATGCTAATTCCTTTGTCAAGGCGCTTTGTTCCTCTCACACAGCTTAAAGGCCGTGATCTGAACGTGGCTCTTTCACTCCAGCGCTGTCCTACCAGACAGTCTCGCCCCTTCACCTGATGAAGGCCGCTTGTGTTGTGGCCGAAACGTCGTGAGAATATTATTGTGTTATTTTATTTAATCAATTTATTATTTTATTCTCATTCTACGTGACTTTACCGAAAGAACCAAAGAAGAAGACCAGCTAGGTTAGGACCCTGGGAACCCCCAGACCCGCTGTCTTTCTAAGGGCTGGGGCTGTGGTGGGCCAGTGGTCGACCCTGGCAACCCCCGGAACCCGACGTCCTTCTAAGAATCCGAAACCGAGTGGGCCAGTGGTCAGGACCCGAGGACCTTGGCTGGGTCGGGTCAGATAGCCTCCCCCTAGGTCCCCTTAGCCGGAGGAATGTGAGTGTAGTCCCAGTGATTAGGACACGGTAGCCCAGCGGCTATACCTCCTTGGGTATTGGGTAGAGGGGCCGCTCCCCTCTGTGTTAGGGACCCGTGTATTCCGCAGTTATATTGAATAAACGTGTTGCCTCAAGCGCTTTGTCTCCGGTCTCGCTGGAACCCACTACACATATATTTTTAGAGTATGTTTTTGTTTGCATTCTGACCACAAGTATTGTGGTTAATGCAGATTATTATCACACTTCTACGGGGAAATTACCGTTGTAATTATGTGTAAGATGTGCCCTTTTTTAAGCTGCCGTTTTGTATTTACAAGAGGTGGTCATTTTTTGAGCTGCCATTTTGTATTTACAAGAGGTGGTCCTTTTTTGAGCTGCCGTTTTGTATGTGTAAGATGTGCGTGTTTGAGCTGCCGCTCTCGCTCTGGCCCCTCCCCCCCTCTAACCGTATTTCCAATTTAAGCTTCTGTTCATCGCTCCGCCCCCCCCCCCCTCTCTCTATCTGCCTCCCTGTCCGTCTTTCCTTCCTCCTTACCTCTTGGTGGACTTGTATATGTATATGTATTTCTACTGACCGTGTACCTCGTATTTTTCATTCTATCTATGCTGGTATGTGCAATACAAAGGTTGATCACGAAATTTAACACTTCTGAAATTCGTGGTCCGCCAGGAAATGTCTAACTGTGTTGTTTGCTGACTGGATGTGCTTCACATAATGTTTTTTCAGGTTTGTTGAATTCTCGTCTCTCATCTTTTTGTTGTATTTACCTCCGTGATTTGTTCTTGACACCTGATGAAGATCGCTTGCGTTGTGATCGAAACGTCGTGATTTGTTCTTGACACCTGATGAAGATCGCTTGCGTTGTGATCGAAACGTCGTGATTGTTTTTTGTTTTCATATAATTTTATTGTATTTCTACATACGTGACTTTACCGAAAAAAACAATGAGTAAATAGACTTATTTTTTAAATAAATGTTTTCTCCTACAACATCAGAGTGCAGCGCCATATTGAATACGCACTACAATGACAATAGTTTAAAGCGATTCGAAGCATGTTTATTTTTCAAAATGGAAATATGGTTTGGGGGGGGGGGAAGCTTTGTCACGTCATATTTGAGGGGGGGTCTAACTTTTTATGACGCCATGTGACGAGGGGGGGGGGGTCAAAAATCGTCCAAAATCGCGTGACACAAAAGTATTGGAAATTAAACACATCTATAAGAGGTTTTTTTGGGTTAGATCGCGTAAATATATCAATGTATTGTTAAAACCCGCCACCACTAGACACAGCCAACGAGTGAGAATAGGTTTCCCTTTTTTTCTGGCAACAAACCAGGTGTTGAAGTTAAAACACCAAACTGAAACCATTTACAAGGATTTAAAGTAATAATAGGGTTTTTCCCCTTTTTTCTGGCAACAAAACTGAAACCTTTTTTACAAGGATTCATGTCTGCATTAACCACAATACCTGCAGTCAAAATGCAAACAAAAACATACTATGAGAATATATGCATTGTCCTTGAAACTGATTGGTCCACACCAAGGGACGGCTTTCTTTTGAGCCTCGACCCAATTGGTGCTCGACCACATGACGCCAGAAGGCGTACAGCTCAAAGACAATGCACTATAAAAGTAATGAGGGCTCGGGGGGAGCATCTACATCATTAGACCTCCTTTGCCAGTACCAAAATGTAATAATAGGGTTTTTCCCCTTTTTTCTGGCAACAAAACTGAAACCTTTTTTTACAAGGATTCATGTCTGCATTAACCACAATACCTGCAGTCAAAATGCAAACAAAAAACATACTATGATAATATATGCATTGTCCTTGAAACTGATATATTATCATAGTATGTTTTTGTTTGCATTTTGACTGCAGGTGTTGTGGTTAATGCAGACATGAATCCTCGTAAAAAAAGGTTTCAGTTTTGTTGCCAGAAAAAAGGGGAAAAACCCTATTATTACATTTTGGTACTGGCAAAGGAGGTTTAATGATGAAGGATTTAAAGCTTTCGTGACTGCAGGGATTCATATTCTTGGTTCTTTCGGTAAAGTCACGTAGAAGGGAAGCAATAATTGTATTATTTTATTGTTTCCCTTCTACGTGACTTTACCGAAAGAACCAAGAATATACATTTACAAGGAATCATGTCGACATTAACCACAATGCTCGTGGTCAGAATGCAACCAAAAAACATACTCTGATAATATATGCATTCAATCTTGATTTGAAGCTTTCGTGACTGCAGAAATCCATACTCGTTGGTTCTTTTGAAGTCACAAACGGTGCTCGTCCAGAGGACGCCAAAAGGGTCCTTTAAAGAAACGCATACCTCGCCCAAACATCCCGTAACCACGCCTCCCCTGCGTGACCCTCCCCTGCCTGACCACGCCCCTACTCGTGACCACGCCTACTGCCCCGCCCCCTTTGATTGACCACGCCCTTGTCCCCCGCGTGCATCACGTGGAACCCCCCCCCCCCGGACGTCGCGCGCTGGTGGAGGCGACATGGCCACAGGTACAGTGGTGTGTACAGTGCGGCACTGTGCTGCTGTGCTGCACGAGGGTGAAGTGTGCGGTGTTGGTGCAGCGCTGTGCGGTGTTGGTGCAGCGCTGTGCGGTGTTGGTGCAGCGCTGTGCGGTGTTGGTGCAGCGCTGTGCGGTGTTGGTGCAGCGCTGTGCGGTGTTGGTGCAGCGCTGTGCGGTGTTGGTGCAGCGCTGTGCGGTGTTGGTGCAGCATTGTGCGGCGCTGTGCAGTGTTGGTGCCGTGTTGGTGCCGTGTTTGTGCAGCACTTTGCAGTGTTGTGCAGTGTGGTGCAGCGCTGTGCAGTGTTGTGCAGCGTTGCAGTGTTTGTGCAGCGTTGCAGTGTTTGTGCAGTGTTGGTGCAGCATTGGTCCAGCGCTGTGCCGTGTTGGTGCAGTGTTAGTCCAGCGCCGTGCAGTGTTGGTGCAGTGTTAGTGCATCGCTGTGCAGTGTTGGTGCAGTGTTAGTCCAGCGTTGTGCAGTGTTGGTGCCGTGTTGTGCAGCACTTTGCCGTGTTGGTGCAGTAGCCGGGGGCACAGTGAGGGGTGCCGCTGGCGAGTGAGGAGTGGCGCGCTCGTGCGGCGAGGCCCATGGTAACACTGAGCTAGTGGTAACAGTGTTAACACTGTGACAGTGGTAACAGTAAGATAGTGTTAACACTGAGCTAGTGGTAACAGTAAGATAGTGTTAACACTGAGCTAGTGGTAACAGATAGTGTTAACACTGAGCTAGTGTTAACAGATAGTGTTAACACTGTGACAGTGGTAACAGTAAGATAGTGTTAACACTGAGCTAGTGGTAACAGTAAGATAGTGTTAACACTGAGCTAGTGGTAACAGTTAGATAGTGTTAACACTGAGCTAGTGGTAGCAGATAGTGTTAACACTGAGCTAGTGGTAACAGGTAGTGTTAACACTGAGACAGTGGTAACAGTTAGATAGTATTAACACTGGGGCAGTGGTAACAGTTAGATAGTGTTAACACTGTGACAGTGGTAATAGATAGTGTTAACACTGTGACAGTGGTAACAGATAGTGTTAACACTGAGACAGTGGTAATAGTTAGATAGTGTTAACACTGAGCTAGTGGTAACAGTAAGATAGTGTTAACCCTGAGACAGTGGTAACAGTAAGATAGTGTTAACACTGAGACAGTGGTAACAGTAAGATAGTGTTAACACTGAGTCAGTGGTAACAGTTATATAGTGTTAACACTGTGACAGTGGTAACAGATAGTGTTAACACTGAGACAGTGGTAACAGTTAGATAGTGTTAACACTGTGCTAGTGGTAATAGTTAGATAGTGTTAACACTGAGACAGTGGTAACAGTAAGATAGTGTTAGCACTGAGCTAGTGGTAACATTAGATAGTGTTAACACTGAGCTAGTGGTAACAGATAGTGTTAGCACTGAGCTAGTGGTAACAGTTAGATAGTGTTAACACTGAGACAGTGGTAACAGTTAGATAGTGTTAACACTGAGCTAGTGGTAAGTTAGATAGTGTTAACACTGAGCTAGTGGTAACATTAGATAGTGTTAACACTGAGACAGTGGTAACAGTTAGATAGTGTTATCACTGTGCTAGTGGTAATAGTTAGATAGTGTTAACACTGAGACAGTGGTAATAGTTAGATAGTGTTAACACTGAGCTAGTGTTAACACTGAGCTAGTGGTAACAGTAAGATAGTGTGTTATGGTCGAAACGTCGTGAGAATTTTTATTGTTTTATATATATTATTATTTTATTGTTTCCCTTCAACGCGACTTTACCGAAAGAGCTAAGAATATGAACTAGTGGTAACAGATAGTGTTAACACTGAGACAGTGGTAACAGATAGTGTTAACACTGAGACAGTGGTAACAGTAAGATAGTGTTAACACTGGGCGAGTGGTAACATTAGATAGTGTTAACACTGAGAAAGTGGTAACATATTCTTAGTTTTTTCGGTAAAGTCACGTTGAAGAGAAACAACAAAATATATATAAAACAATAAAAAATTCTCACGACGTTTCGACCATAACTCAAACGGTCATCATCAGGTGTGTCGGTTTGCATAAATTTATTTTGAAAACGGCATATTTATTTATATATATATAAAAATAACGTTTGCGTCACGCGCAACGATGGCAGTTTGCCAGGACTAGTCCATCTATTTTTTGAAAAGAGGAGGGGGGAGACGAAATTTGTTTTTATGTATGCTGTCTGAAAGGCACTGTAAGCGTGAACAATCAATCAAGAAGTGAAATGATTTATCAAATCTTTCCAATGATTGCTAAGATAGAATCCATCTTCTCGGTTGAAATTGTCTCTGTGTTTGTATATGTGGATAGCCTCATGAACGAATCTCTCATGGAAGCCAGATGGCTTACAAATAACCTCCGTCTTGGAAAAGTCAATGGCATGTGAGCCTACTGAATTAGAACAATGATCTGCTACGGCCGAGGTGTTGGTCCTACCGTGTTTAAGGTCTGCTTTATGTTCACGAATGCGGTCCGAGATATGGCGTTTGGTTTCTCCAATGTAACTACTACCACAGAGGCAACTTAGTTTGTAGACACCAGGGTATTGTATGTCCGGAATCACATCTTTTACAGACGGAACCAGATCACGGATTTTATGTAATGTGTTGAAACGGACCTGGATCTTGTGTTTATTCAAGATTTTGGAGATCTTTTTTGTGATCCCAGCAATGTAGGGTAAAGTGATGGTTTTGAAAGGCTCCTCAAGAGGGTTCTTCTTCATGGTTTGAGTGATAGCTTTGCGGATTGTATAGTCGGAGTAACCATTAGCCCTAAGAGCTTGGTGTACGTGCTTGAGTTCACTGCTTATGTGTTCCTGGTCGGATATGCATTGGGCTCTATGATACAGAGTCTTGATGAGAGAATTCTTCTGTGATGGATGGTGGTGGGAATCCGGTTTCAGATAAGCATCCGTATGGGTAGCTTTCCTGTAGACAGAGTGGCTCATTGAACCATCAGGTCTCTTTTTAATTAGGACATCCAAAAAAGGTATCTTGCCATCTATTTCGACTTCCATGGTAAATCTGATGGCTGGGTGTATGGAATTGATGTGGTCGAAGAATTTGTCTAGAGCAGGCCGGCCATGTGGCCAGATGACAAAAGTGTCATCCACGTACCTCTTCCATAAGGTTGGGCGCAGAGTGGCAGTCTGGATGGCGTCAGTCTCAAATTTCTCCATGAAAATGTTAGCTATAACTGGAGAAAGGGGGGAGCCCATTGGGGTGCCCTCAGTTTGTTTGTAGAAAGTTCCATTCCAAGTGAAGTATGTATTGGTTAAACAGTGTCTCACCAGGGGGGGTACCTCAGTGTTTAGTCCTTGATGAACCAAGTCTTCAATGATTGCAATGGTGTCAGGTACAGGAACCTTGGTGAATAAGGAAACTACATCAAAACTGACAAGCAGGTCGTCTGGGGACAGGGAAATACCCTTGATTGTTGATACCAGGTGAGTAGAATTTTGTACCGCAGAGGTGGTCTTTCCAGTGAAAGGACGCAGGATTTCAGACAAAAAACGAGCTAGTTTGTAGGTGGGGGAGCTGATAGTAGAGACTATGGGACGAAGAGGTGTATCAACTTTATGTATTTTTGGTAAGCCGTATAATCTTGGTGGCCTGGCAGCAGAAGGTTTCAACGAAAACTGTTTAGATTGATCAATTAATGCGGTTGAATCAGAAATTATTTTGTTGGTTTGTGTGACGAGGCTGTTGGTGGGATCTCTTTTTATTTTTGTATAACTACCATCGTCGAGTAATTCTTTAATTTTGTTGTTGTATTCTATTTTATCCATGATAACAGTAGCATTGCCTTTGTCAGCTGAGAGAACTACAATATCATTCCTCTTTTTTAATTTATATAATTCAAAACGCTCATCTTTGCTGAGGTTGCTAGCTGGCATCTTAGCGTTTTTGAGGGTTGCAGCGATTTCAGATCTTGCTACGTCTGCAGCGATGTGACCCAGGCCCCTGAGAGCAACGTCTACTTGGGCAATTATATCATTAACTGGTATGTGTTTAGGTGTGACTGCAAAGTTTAGACCTTTAGCTAAAACGGATTTCAGACCATCGGAAATAGAACTGTTACTGCGATTAATTACGACTTTATTAACGTCTAACTTTTTGGTGTGTGGGTCCGGTCTTTTGTTTAAGAGGAGGTTAAATTTGGAAATCAGGTTTTCCTTACATTTGGTCGACATAGTAGCAGCTGAAGAGGCAGTCATATTGTCTACATGTTCCCAATCCGATGTGGACATTATTGCCGTCAATGATAAGTGTGATTTGTAGAGTGTCTTGTCTAACTGATCTAGTTCTGTGCGTATAAGTCTGATTTTTTCTGAGATAAGAGCTAAGCTAGTTTTGAAAAGAATTCGTTTCGCATTAGAAGAAGTTACAGTAGCAGAGGTGAGTGTAAATGCGATTGGTATTACCCCAGAGTCGCGGCATCTCTTCAGGAAGGTGAGAGACTCGATCAGCTGAGCTTTCTTATCCCGGAGTTTGTTGAAAGATCTTAAAGTTATGTGAAAACCCTCCCCGTAGAGGCGATTAAATTTTGATTTAAAGCTTTCGTGACTGCAGTAATTCATATTCTTAGTTTTTTCGGTAAAGTCACGTTGAAGAGAAACAACAAAATAACAAAATATATATAAAACAATAAAAAATTCTCACGACGTTTCGACCATAACTCAAACGGTCATCATCAGGTGTGTCGGTTTGCATAAATTTATTTTGAAAACGGCATATTTATTTATATATATAAAAATAACGTTTGCGTCACGCGCAACGATGGCAGTTTGCCAGGACTAGTCCATCTATTTTTTGAAAAGAGGAGGGGGGAGACGAAATTTGTTTTTATGTATGCTGTCTGAAAGGCACTGTAAGCGTGAACAATCAATCAAGAAGTGAAATGATTTATCAAATCTTTCCAATGATTGCTAAGATAGAATCCATCTTCTCGGTTGAAATTGTCTCTGTGTTTGTA